ATTCAATGAACTGCCAGCACATACTGAAAGCATAGGTTGAATCATTGCTCATTCTAAAGATTTTTGTTATTACAATATGGAATTGGACACAATTTTCTTATGTTTATGAGCTGAGATGTCACTAAGTGCATTCTTTCAAGAATCTATTTGGGTATGAGAAAGTTTGGGAGGTTGGGCAAACCCAGGGCAAATGCAAAGTACACATGTTGTTTTGGATTTATGGTCTCTTCATGTTTGTCTGTCTGCTTAAAGACAATAAATGAGAATCATACAAGTGTGTAGTAATTTTTGTAAAATCTAAAATAAAACCAAGCTATAAGCTGTATTTGTTAAAACTGAACTTTGAACAGTGTTGTTGAGCCAAATATTGTGATATCAGAGATTTTACTACTATTGCGTGATTTTCACTACATTTAATTTGATTAATTTGACTGTTTGAGTAATTCCCCCTCAGGAGAAGTTGTGGATGTCTTCTGAATGGGTTTAACCCTCAGGCTTGATTACAAGCCTCATCAAAATTGTCATCATGTGCATTATAGTTTTAGATTTTGAATTTTGAATTCACAGTCACTGGGACTTCTTGCATGGCAGCAGTAGTTCTCTGGGACTGAGGCATAATATGATTTTTTGCCAGATTAGAGTTTATTTTGAAGGTTTTGTTGCATGGTATCTGTTTTGTGTGAGTTCTTAACGCTTGGTTTCATGAGGAAATAATTTCACTCTTTACAATATGATCTGTACCATAGAGTAGTTGACTGGATAAGATTGTGTGGCACTAAGGACATTTGTGTGACTTCAGCTGCAGTGAACTGATTGATATATGATGTTAATTTGTATTTTTGATTATCCATTTTAATTTTTATTGAATCTCATTTGTCTTGATCCTACTTTATCTACTTTATATTGTATCCTCCAATAAAATGAATGATATGGTGAATATTGTGTATTGAAAATGCTTGGTAAATACGTAATTTTACAGATAGGCTCATATGAGTATTTTATGCTTGAAAAATACATACAATTAATTAACATAATGATTTTACTTAAGACATTAACAGTTTTGACCAGATTAATGACATCTGACAACAATGCACCAAAAAGTTATTATTGAGACAAAATTAGAGACAAATATGACAATTTTGGTGAAATAAAGGGAAGACTTTTGCTCTTCAAGATGCTGCCATGGGCTGAATAGCTACAAACACTTAAGGCATAACTGAGAATGAGAATGTTGATCAACATGGATCTTGCATTAAAACCAAGAGCATGCACATTACTGATGTCCAGCACATGAGGAGCAATATACGGTGGTGAGGACATTTTTACACTGATTTTCTACTTTTTTATATTGTGATTAGTATTGCATGAATTTGTCCTTGTGTAAGAGTAATAGTGAAATTGTAGTCCTTGATTACTGCTTAACAGTGGGGAATGGATAATGGCAAGTTGTTGCAGGTTCATCCATTATATTTATTGGTGTTTACCTCAAAAATCAAATAAATAATCTATTATTATTATTATTATGGGCCAAGCACCGAAAGTGCAGTGGCACCTATTGTATCCGTTAGCGTCATTTTTCTTCTTCCGCCGCAAGTCTATGGCAGCCCATAGAACCGCTTGCGGGAAAGTTGTGAAATTTGGCACACTGATAGAGGACAGTCTCAACATTAACCACAGCAAGTTTGGAGTCTCTAACTCCAACTCTCTAGCGCCACCACTTGTCCAAAGTTTCAATTTCTTTATGCTAATAACTTTTGAACCGTAAGGCACA